TCTTCTGTGGTCTTCCTTATGCACTGTCCAACTTTCGCATGCATATGAAGTTAATGAAAATACCATGACTTGGGTCAGGCGCATATTTGCCTAATGCAATACGTCCTTTGATTTTTTTGACTTCTGCTTTTATTAGTGTTAATGATTGATGTGATTAAAATGAAGTCTTTCACAACTGCAATCTTTGCTCCATTGATGTGGATGTTGTTCATTGGTCCAGTGGTGAGGATTTTTTTTCTTTACATTGAGATGCAATCCATACCAAAGGCTGTGGTCTTCTTCAGTAAGTATTTTAAGTCCCTTTCACTTTCAGCAAGCAAGGTTATATCATCTGTATATCGGAGGTTGTTAATGAGTCTTCTTCAAACCTGATGCCACATTTTTCTTCATATACTTAAACTTCTAGGATTATTTGCTCAGCATACAGATTGAATAAGTGTGCTGAAAGAATACAATTCTGGCACACACCTTTCCTAATTTTAATCCATTCAGTGTTCCCTTGTTGTTTTGGAACAATTGCCTCTTTGTCTATGTTCAGGTTCCTCAGCACAATTAAGTTCTGGAATACTCGTACTTCGCAATGTTGTCCATAGCTTGTCATGATCCCCACAATCAAAAGCCTTTGCATAGTCAATAAAACACAGGTAAACATCTTTCTGGTATTCTCTGCTTTTAGCCAAGATCCATCTGAGATTAGCAATGATATCCCTCATTCTACGTCCTCTTCTGATTCCAGCTTGAACCTATGTCAATGTATGCTTGCAGCCATTTCTGTATAACCTTTAGTAAAAGTTTACTCACATGGAATATCAAAGATGTTGCCCAGTGATTTTCACATTCTGTTGGGTCCCCTCTCTTTGGGTTGATCACAAATATGGATCTCTTCCAATCAGCTGGCCAGATAGTTTTCTTCCAAATTTATTGGTATAGATGAGTGAGTGCTGCAGCAGTTTGTTGAAAAACTTCAATTTGTATTCCATCAATTCCTGGTGCCTTGTTCTTTGCCAATGCCTTCAATGCACCTTGGACTTCTTCCTTCAGAATCATTGACTGTTGAACACATGCTACCTCTTGAAATGGTTGAACATCGACCATTTCTTTTTGGTACAGTGGCTTTTTGTATTCCTTCCGTCTTTGGATGTTTTCTGCATCATTCAATAATTTGCCCATAGAATCTTTAAATATTTCAAGTTGGAGTTTGAATTTTTTCTTCAGTTCCCTCAGCTTGAGAAATGCTGAGCATGTTCTTTCCTTTTGGTTTTCTAACTCTAGGCCTCAACTTT